AATGTTATATGGTTACAGTTTTTATATGAATTTTATTAATATTTTAACGGTTAATAATGTTATATAAGTTTGCAATAATTTATCCTTGCATTCATATATGTAAGACATTTGTAACAATGTGACTATTTTAATATTATTCAATATGCCTTCAATGTATAAACATTTCAAAATACATTTTAATAATGTCAGTAAATACATTTGTAAATTTGTCAAAAATTCGATATTATACTGTTTCTTGTTATTATATCTTTCATAATTCTTTTATACGCTTTTACGTATTATAAATACATTATTTAAACGCGTAACAAGTCTATTTTGTTTATCATTTTGCTTCAACAATATAATAATAATAATAATAATATTGGATATTATTGCGTGTAACAATAGATAATTTTATTGTGTAAGCCTAAAATTAAAAATTATTCATCCAAACAAAGTTTGTTTATTTTATGAATTATATTGGATAATGATTTGTTTCTAATAATACCTTAATATACTAATATAGTTTCAACAATTATATACTTCCATAAATATAAATACTAGTTATAGAATAATTATTTAATAGTAGCTATAAATTTAAACGTATCTCTTCTTTTCATTATTTATATGATAATTTATATAATTTTTTAAATATAATTTATGAAAAGTTTATTTTTCAGTTTATTTTGCAATAAATTTCGAAAATATAAAAAAAATAAGGAAATTATGAGAACATATAAGTAAACATAGAGTAATGTGAACATATACTTAATTAGATAATTATTTTATTATTATAATAATTAATACTTGAATAGAATTTATGTTTACTTTAAAATTGTTTGAGAAATTTATTTACTTTGATAATATATATATATATATATATATATATGAATAATTATTTATTTTAGTTTAATTTTGATTTAAAAGAGAAAAGTATTCACAATACGTCATTATTTAAAAATAAAAATATCTATATACGACAATTTTATGTTTGTTTTGATGGTAAATCAACAGCAATTATTTAACAACTTTGATACTACAAGATCAGTAATTTCCGATAAATTAAAATTCCAAATAAAGATCGGTCATATATGGCAAAAAATTCTTTTATCATTTAAATCAATTTATAAGAATGCCAATTTCAAGCAGGTAAATTAATATGCTGATTAATTAATTCAACGATTGCAGATATTAACGGATAATCCTATAGCCAGAAGAATTAATTTCTAAAGCTTCGTAGTAATCCTGAACATTATAATTCAAAAAAAAAAAAATCCAATTATAAATTGTAATGTTTTGATTTGGTAAATGAAATAATAAAACCAAGGTAAATTGGCAAAGCATATTAGTCTATATGTTACTTAAATAAATTCTTTAAAATCATAAAAAATTCATAAAAATATTGTTCTAATATTGAGGCTTTTTACCGTTGAAAAATAAGTTTAATTTTTTTTTTAGTTGAAAAATAACAATGTAAATTTTGTTTTCCTAACAAATTCTCACTTATTTTTATATTTATAATTATGGACTGAATCGCATAATATGCTATTAAATGTATTAATAATTGAACATTAAAGGTCTCTTTTTTTTTTTTTAAATCTTGTTTTAAAAAATAATCAATATTCTACATATATATATGTATATATATATATATATATATCTGTTTCACATCAGTAATAATATTATAAAATACTAATAATTTGATTCAAATTCGACAATATTTATGTCAACAAAATTTTTAAAATACATGCCAGAACATAATTATCGATTTGTCTTTTAATACAAACATGACACACAAACATTAAAAATATAGAATTTTTACAACTACAATAATTTTAATTGGAATATTCACTTAATCACTCATGAATAAGTAATATATTGAAGATATCCATATATAATTTTACAATATTTTGAAAACAATAATAGTACGGCTATGAAACATAGATTATAAACGTATGAATCAAAAATGAAAAAATTAGACATATTTTTTACTTCAATACTCATATATCTTCATGACTCATATTTCTACGGATCGTGGCTAAATGGTGTCAATATATAATTATTCATAATTTTGTAGTGATAAACTTTATGATGTATAATTATATATAATTTCAATATGCGTTCAAATTTTAAATTATTTTCAATTTAATTATTAAATTTATCCTCAAGAAATACGTAAATTGATAAATGAACATTATTATTATGTGATTATCAATCATCAATATTAAGAGAGTAATTCATGTTTTGAGATATTTAAAAATAGTCATAAATACAGTATTGCTTACATTATTTTGTTCATAATGTATCTGTAATATTACTATAGTAATGATTATTTAACCATCAATTTATATAAATCAATTTTAAAAAATGTAAAAAATGAAACTGTTTTTGAAATTTTATTAATTTATTGCCATTAAAATTGTAATTGTTTATTTAATTAAGTATTCTTAAAATCGTTAAAATTTCTGACTTAAATTTCTGTCACGATAAAATTATTATAATTATTTTGAATTTCCTTCCAACACAGAGAATCTGTTATAATGAGTGCTAATAGACCTAAATTGGACAATTTATATTTTTTACCATTGTTATGTGAATCAGCGAAAAGTCGGGTAATGAAGAAAATCTTAAATTTCAATTTAAGAAAATTGATATTCTTATGTAAAATTACGTTGATAAATCTGAAAGTGTATATTTTTTAGCTAACTTGTAATCACTATTAAATTATAAGTTTTTTTTTTCTTACGACTTTATCCATTTAAAAATTTCCTTTATGTGAACCGATTTGTTTCTTGTTTAATTGTAAAAGGAATGTATATATAATAATTTATATATTCATAATAGAATCATCAAAAGATTGTTTATTGGAATAATTCACGCTATATATATATATATATATATCATTTTAAAAATTTATGTGATAATATATAAGAGAGGAATAAATATCACATGTACTTTTATTCATATTTGTAATTCTTATATTCAGAATACCAGTTATCGTAGATTAATAACTTCGCGAATATAGATATTTAATATTTAGAATTAGTTAATTCACCTATCTTTTTAAATTCAGTAATTAGTAATTTAGTAATTACGAAAGTAAATTTTAACATTGGAAATATCTGGAAAACGATGTATATCATTTTGTATGATTGTAAGGTCTGACTGAAGCGATTAATCTTTGACACTATATAAGTAAATATTATATAAATTGAAATAAGAAATTGAAAGAAATAAAAAAAAAAACGTGATTTATTATTGATTAATATTGTGTTAGTACAGTGACGCACAAATTTAAATTAAGCTTAAAGATCTACTGTATGATATTTATAATTAAAAGAAATACATAATAGTTACATGTAAATGTAAATATTTTACACTGTTTTAATAATTAATAAATGATTTTAAAATTTTAATAATTTTAAACAATGCTTAAATACCTATATTTGATATATAGTGTGTTAAGCATAATTAAATATGAATATTATGTTTAGAAAGTATACTTCCGTTATTTTATCTCATTTTATATACGTAAACTATAATCTTGCATATTCATATTAGAAGTCGAGATTATCCAGTAAAAATAAAGATAAAGGATGTAGTGTAATTAAATTTGATGAGAGAGAATTTAGATGCGGGGAGAAATTTTGTAAATACAGATTTTTATTGCCTTTACCTTGTTATCAAACTTTCTTCATCGGCACGAGATTAGCGTAGATATTTAATTTCTCGATCAACTATTCAATGTAAGCTAAAGGATCTTGTTTTTTTTTTAATATTTTTCTAATAAACATTCATTGTCTTGTTAGCAATGAAAATAGTATTTATTGTTATTTTTCTTAATATTAAATACATAAAATTTCTCCTATAATTATTGTTTGATCAATTGATTGTAAGAAAATCAAGATATCTTGTATTCCTAATGAAAGCCCCAAGATTCTTTCTTGTTCAGACGACTTGTGATTTTTGAAATGGAATTCATTATTTATTTATTATTATACAGATTTGCTTAAAATTTTAAATAAACTTTAAAGTTTTCCTAGTCGAATAAATAGAATATAATAAGGCGATTTTTATTACGAATTTGGAACTTTTTTTCTTAAAAATTTGTTATAAGATAGGTACTTTCATTATGAAGAATGAATATTCGAGAATATTAATATAAAATTTGATAGGAAAACATCGACCATTATTGCATTAACAATAAGATTTATATAAGAAATGTGAGCGATATACATATAATAAAACCTGTTAGCTTTAGGAAATATATTTCATAAAGTACACATTTTATATTAAACTACGACGAATTCAATATATAAATTGTTATAAAATACATACATTTAATATTGCGTGGGACTTTATTTAAAAATCCAAATTGTTCTTCTTCAATAGCGCTTATAGTATTATGAAATGAATAATAATGATCATATTTATTCGTTGCTAACGTTTATTAACTTTTCGATAATCTTATAAATATATTTTCATTCACGAACAAAAATATTTCACATAGATTAATAAGCAACTAATTTAAGAAAACATTAAAACTATTAAATTCTACAATCTAATTCAAATATATCAACTCTATGGTAATGTCTGAAGTAATTTAATTAAGTAATTCTAATCTGTATCGTCGATTAAAAAAAAAAAAAAAAAAAAAAAAAAAAAAAAAAAAAAAAAAAAAAAAAAAAAAAAAAAAAAAAAAAAAAAAAAAAAAAGAAAGAAACATAAAATAAAAATAAATACATTAAATTGTATTTGAAACAATGAAGTGATTAGTTCTTGCATGCAAAATCCTTAAATATTTTGAGGTACGATAGGTAAAATACAAGCAAATAGAATAATAAATTGATTATTGTATTATTAAATTCATTGATATTAGAATCTACAATTTTGTATATACATAATATAAATCTTATATTTTAAAAATTTATGCAAAATATTTGTTTATTAATATTTATTAATATGAAAATAAATTATTTTTAAAGCACCATGTCAAGGTATAATTTTTATAAAATATAAATTTTGACAATAAGCGTAATTATGAAACGTTCTTGCTAAACAAATGAATGTGTAATTTTAAGCGTTGAAATAGTTTAATGTCAAATTGTACGACGGTATCATCAAATTCAAGCTTTTTCAATTTTCAATTACCAAATTGAATTATCAAAGAATGTAAGAAAAATACATAAAAATTGTAGTGTATTTTTTTTTCTTCTTTTTTCTTTTTTTATAAAATATACATATTAATGTTCCTCTTGTTGCGTAAGGTACAAATGTCCAATAGTAACTCAATTCCATGCATTAGCTTTATGCTTTGGAAGAAAGTTGAAGCCATCTGGAACTTTACCAAGTAACATTTCCCTGCAAAAATCATTGTTATTTCAATTATAATAATCTTCAATTAATCTTTAACTAAGTCAATCGATAAAATATCAATATTAATTATTTCAACATAGTTTTTTCAAATACTTGATTGTACTTATTCTATCGAAAGTCTATAATGGATTGAGAGACATTAATTTTTTATATCACATAATTCTCTATTTCCATGATTTTGCATTCAAAATTCAACTCCCTGTTTAGACCACGAAACCAGTGCATCGATAAATCTATGAATTTAACAACAATTTTAGAGGAAAACCTTTAATAGATTTGCTAACTTACGACAACTTGACCCAATCGGCGCAATTTGGACTGGCCATTAGCGTTTCAAGTTCATCGCGACCTTTGTAATAGGGTGGCCTATTATTCATTCTCTGAGGTGGATTTTTTAAAATACCAACTGGAACATACCTAAAACAAAAACAGTTTCCTGAGTATTTGGCGCACTGAATAGTAGTGATTTATTATGTTGAAGAGATGCTTAAGTAGGCATTACCTTACGACATTACTTTAATATAATATGACGTAAAACTTCAATTAATTCATAAATATAAGTTGGAATTTTTAAATGTTTAACGAGAGCAAATTTGAAGCTTATAAGTATTTACAGATAAAATGCATCGAAGGACGAGTAAAATGGAAACATTAGCATTAAGATTAATTATATAATTATTTATTATATTTTATTATATTATAGAATATTATATATATAAAAAAAAAAGAAAAAAAAAAATTAATAATAATAATAATAAATAATAAATAATATTAATAATATCAAATAGTTAAAAATTTATTAAGGAAATTAATGCGCCATCATTATCCATGATATGCTCCTCGACATTCATATTTAGTGGAATTTAAATTGTTTAAAAAGCCATAATAAGGTCGCTGACAAATCGAGCGTCAGCTAAGATTTTACGAATATCAAAGGAGGAACGATCATCATCATCATCATCATCATCATCATCATCATCATCATCTCCATCATCATCCAACAATTTATTCATTAGTTGATTAAATCATACCTGTAAAGGAATGAAATCCACTCGAGCATGAATCGACGAGTGTTCTCGACACCGCGTGTATCCGATCCCCAGTGCTCCAATCCGTAATTGGTATACTTCTTGAGCATCTCGAATCTCTCGCTCGAGGACACGTCGATGAGTCTCTGTTCTTTGATTTCCTGAAATATCCAAGGCTTGATGAGGGCACCCCGGCCTATACTGACGCCATGGACCGTCGGGTACGTCGTCCGCATCCTCGCGTAGTCGTCGTACGAGAGAATATCGCCCGTACCGTAAACGGGGACCGGCTCAGCCTCTTTGGCACAGAGTTCAATGTAGTCCCAGTTGGCGAGTTTCGTGTACCTCTGTTCGCGCGATCTGCCGTGAATCTGTCAAATGATAATGTGAAGCTAATAAGCTCCCTTTCAATTGCCTATATAGCGGAAGTTAATTATTATTCGCCATCTCTGGATTTTCTTATTCCTTCTATTTAGGTTGTCTTGCTCACCGAGGGAAAAAACTAAATATAATTACTATGGGAGAATGTATGATTGCAAATGTTCTATATAAACAATCGTCAAAGGGCAATATTTGATTTAATGTCGTTTAAAATCTAAAAACGTGAAAAACGCAAAAATATCCAATTAATATTAACAACAGATATAAGATATGAAATGTAAGCAAATGTATTTAAATGACTGATTAGACTTTGGGATAATTTTCGTCGGCTATTCGAATCATAAGTAAAATGTTCGAGATTCTGTAATTTTAGTTACTTTGAAGTATGAAACAGTCCTTGTCTACGCATATTTATAATTTTTTAAACTAATCTAAACGATCATGAGAAGCGTACGATGCAATAAATCTTACATTAATCATAGAAACACCCCACTGTTTGAATTTCGGCATTAACGTGTGAGCTATGGGTACATCTACGTAAACAGCTGTCCTCGTTTTAACGGTAAGTGGAATGTCCAACACTTCGTTACACGACTGTACCACCGACTCCAGAATATATGGTCTATTTAACATTCCACATCCAGCTCCCTGCTTATAAACAAGATCAATCGGACATGCTAGATTTAAATCCAAAAAGTCCACTTCAATTTCATCGTTCAGAAGCTGCGCACACCTCGTTAAAACACCAGGGTTGTTACCCGTGATTTGCACTCCAAATATATCTTCGCATTCGTGCCTTTTAACTAAGGCCCACTCTTCTCGCATGCCCTTCAAAAGTCTAGGCGCCATTGCCATTTCTCCACAAGTTATGTCAGCCCCATACTCCTTGCAGATTCTGCGAAAAGGGAGATTGCCAACCGTTGTCAATGGGGCTAGCATAACCTTATCTTTCCAGTCTATTCTTCTCCTCTCCTTGACTCTCAGTTTTATCTCCTCCGTATCCATAATTGGCCCAACTTTTTTCTCCGAGTCTTCCATTTCAGTCAAATTCTGAATTTCCCTCGATTTATCAAACATTTTATTCGGTTTCTGAATGTAAAAGAAACGTTCTAGTTAGCTATTAAAGTAGATTAACAATATGATTCTTTTAATTACTTACAATTTAAAAAAAAAACAAGAAAACTACAAATAAACTACATTAACCTATATAAATTAAAAAGAAATCATGTAAATACCCAGTTGTATTTAGAGCCAATTTTTTCTGCTTTAGTAAAGTTATACCTATACTTTTTTAATTGTTCTACAATTTCTTTGCTAATTTTATTCTTAACTCGAGGAGAAATATTTTTATATATTTCATATTTTTCCTTATCGATAATGTTAAAGCCATCTTTTGTAATGTGCTGTGATCCAAATCTGCACGAAGCTCCCCTTTGACATTTTCCAGTACTTTTAAAAATATGACATTCGGTTCCAATATCATCCGGTTTTATTTCCAAGTATTTCACTCGCTCGTGTATGAATACGCACGCATCGTTTGGACATTCATTATTTTCACGAGCTTCGTCGACAGTGAGATTCGCTATCCATGGACAAAGATTGTGTTCCCTTAAAGTTTTAAAAGGTAGCTTTCTACCTTTGTTCTGACCTCTAGGCTTATTTTTTCTATAATTTTCTTTCAATCTTTTTTTTTCTGGTTCATTATCCACACAATCGCCTTTATCAATCTTATCCTTATCGTTTTCTTTTAGATTATCATTAGTTGAAGATCTCACACTACCTTCAATTATATACCTATAATATATAATTTCAAAATACATTAATATAAGTAAGTTTGATATAAATTCTCATAATAAATTAATTTTACTACCATACAAAGTAGCTACATGGCAAAATATTAAATTTTCCAAGTTGATACTAAGTTGTATTGAATTTTTTCACCTTATAAAACGATCGCATTTATTTTTAAGACAAAGTATGAGAAAATAAATAATTTCACTTTGCCTATTAAGAAAACATTCAAATTCATCTTAAGAGTATCAATACCATTCTTTAACGTTGCTTATTAAATACAATTAGCTCTAATAAAAGGTTCTTAATTGTTATTTAATTCTTATTACTCTTAATTATTTGGAGTGAAAAAAAAAAAAAAAAAAAAAAAGGCGAAGAAAGTAAATGCGTGTATCGTGGTATGCCAATTATCAATTAACAATAAACATTGGAAAACTATAGGCATTGGTCTTTAAGGTTAAAATACATGGCTCTATGTCATTATTAACAATAAAATATCAACATACTCAGGTTTTATTAAACATATTCCTGTTCGTTTATCATCTAATTTGTGGCTCGAGTTAGTGTTAGTTTTCGCTTCCTCGGCATCTGTCATCGTTAAGCGGAAAGTGTCAAAATCGATTAACAATATTTAATTATCACCTATTCTCCATGTGGTGTGTAATACACACTGAATCGACTAGCGACCGGTTGGGTCAGGCGGTGCGGTGCGGTGCGATCAGCAAGTGCACTCGCTTGGGGGCATGCGCAATGGTGGTTTCCAATGCCGGAAGGGATCGGGTCTTGGATGCATCGCTGATCGCGGCGAAATCAATTCATGAGTTCCATTGGTAAGTTGCCGAGCTGATTTGGCACGATCACGCTAGGTGATTGGACAACATTCTTTCAGTCATTTGTTTTTTTAAAAATACTCTTGCGAATTTCATTGCATAGGCATTTTCGCGGACTATCTGTAGAAAGTTGGACTGGAGTTTTAATGTGGTTAGAAAAGGGGAAAGAAGCACGGACGGAGATAGAAATGCCGACGTATTAAGTAAAAAAATGTCGATAGAATTGTCATTATTGTATTATCGAGCCATTTTAATGGTAAAAATGAATTTTTTTTTTTTTTTAAATAATTTATTATAGACGAATGAGAATTTTATAGGTGACATAAATGGAGAAAATCAAATGATCAATGTGCTCGTGCTTATGTAAATTTGGATATAAGTATGCAAAGTTATTTTAAATTTTATTCCAATTCATGTGAATATCTATGACACGACAATCAATCTTAATAGTTTATTGTAAAGCGATCATTGTCAATATGACAAATTTTTACAAAATGGATGTATTTAAATTTTATATATATTATGTTAAATAAAAAATTTAAATTATAAAATATTTTTGTTTTATACAATCATTTCTAATTCTCTTGCGTAATCAATTGCGAGGGTTACCAATTCTGTACTAGGTATCGGCTCCTCGACTTTCTTTTCGCTAGGTGCCCCAAAGTGGAAGTATCCGTCTTTAGCGACAGTCCATTTTTTTTTATTACAAAACTGCATCGTCTCCTTCTCTGTACTTAAATTTAACATTCGGGCAGCGTCCTTGATCGAAATTTTATCAAAGGCACTTTCCATGCACGCTCCAATTTCGTCTCTAACGGTATTTAATAGAATATCGATGAAAAAGTTATAAGATGCCGCAGGTACGTTTCCTTTAGCGAGAAAAATTTTATTATAAGATCCTTCCATTAAGCATTGTTCCAAACTCAATGGATGTCGTATATAAATATTTGACTGAATACAATCTACGGGGAGAAGTTCTAATTCGGTGTGAAATTCTGCTACTCTATTTTGAGATAGTAAAAAGAGCAGATTGAGTCCTAGGAGCTGATACTTGTACGCAGATTCTGGTAAACTAGATTTATAATCAAAGTAATAACATTTGAGTTGTGCCATATAACGTTCGAACGAAGGGATGTCTTCGCTAGCGATGCTCCATTGAGCTCCAATTTCAAGAACATCGCCTAAAATTTAATAAATTCTCGTTTAATTTTAATTGCAATATATCTATTAGACCTTATTGCATTCTTAATTTACTTACGAGCTATTATTAATTCTTTCTCAGAAGCGGTATCCTTTGTCGGCAAAAATGTTAAGTTTGTAAGGGCAATCTAAAAATTGATTTAAGTTTTATCAACTTATAGTATGCCGAAATATTACTGCAGTCTTACAAATATTTTATTTGGATAAAATAACGACATTATTTAATTATCGAAATTTTTCTTCATTAATAACCAAAAATAAATAATTTAACACGATTAGACGATATTCTTTTACAACATTATGGAACATTCGTGTCGCTAGATACAAATTTGAAAAACAAATCAAACGATCAATTTTGGTTAAGATTTTAATTTACAAATCTAGCGAAAGACTGGAAAAATAACTTGAAACGATAATATTAATTTCTTATAAAAATCTATTCCACTCGTTGCACAAATTTAATCTGTCACTCGTTGATAATTTAAATAAAAATAATTTCTCAAAATAGCAGGCTTACTATAATTCAAAAAAATAAAAACATCCTGTCCCAAGAGCATTAAATACAACAAATTCACGAACCGACGAATTACAAATAACGACAATATTATAATTATAATATGGACATTTTTAAAAGACGAATGACATATATATTAATTTGAATACAGTTTAATACAGTATTAATCCGAGAAACAGCAAGCATGACAATACAATTTGGAAACGAGTAGAATAAGGTTAAATTTACGATTAGGCAATTCGCTCATTATCAGCCTCGATATTAAAATTTTCTCTCAATCTTACTTTAAGCTGATTCAAAAGTTCTCCACATTTAATCAGATTGCAAGGTGTTTTACTCCATTCTTGTTTCAATACTTGTGCTTTACTGACCACATCTTTAAGTGCCGCCATTATCAAATGTTTAGTTCCAAACTCCAACTCCAGCACAAAGTCCGACTTCCAAGTAGTCCAACTTTACCACTTCCAACTTTCCAAAATTCAATTTCTTTTTGCCGTGTGAAGTTGTCGAAATACGTGGCTCTAGATTATATTATAACAAAGCCAGCGATACTATTTTCGGCAAATTTCGGAATGGTTTCATCACGACACGATTCTTGTTCGCCCTCGGTATGTTAAATCATGGAAATTATAACCTTTCAATAGTAAAATGTAAATTTTCTTGATAGCAAAATTAGGAGGATTTATCGTACAAATAGGCTAAATTTTATAATTAACATTTAATTACCAGAAAAGTGCAAAATAAATAAACCGAATATGAACATCCGTGTTAAAATTTTATTAGGAGAAGAACATATCTTTGAAGTGAGTAAAAATACATCTGTTTTTCAGAAAAAGAAAAGAAAAAAAAATTTATGCAAATTTACAGTG